CCAGAGGAGTTTAAAAAAAAGTTTTTATTTAGTTTTTGTGAAATTTTGTTATTTTTGTGTTGTTACCAAAAGTGTACTAGAAAGAGTTTTTTTTAAAGAACACTTCAAGATTTTCATAATGGGCATGTTATCATTACAGAATTAACTTACAAACAACAACTTTTCAAGTTTACTAATGTCTACACACCTCCAAATATTGAGAACAGAACTATCTTCTTCAACAATTGGGCCTCTCAAGTAGATGATAGATGCATAAACATTATGGTGAGAGATTTTAATACTAATCTCAATCTGCAAACAAATAGAATTAGTGACTCACTTCCAACTAGTGATCCTATAAGAGAAATTTTCAAAAGACTTACCTCAGAGTTTTTAGATACAGTAAGTTTGGAGCAAAGAGAAAAACCCTTTATAACTTATTATCAAAATACCAAAGGTGGTAGAAGAATGGCTACAAGACTTGATTACATCAAGAGAGAAAGGAGTTTTGCTATTTGGTTATATATTGTAAAAGGTTCATGATGAATGATTCTGATAATGAATTTTAATTTTTTATTTGGCCAAGATGAAGAAAGTGATGTTGAATTATTAGCTTCAACATCTACATCTACTCCAGCTTTATCTACCTCAGCTTTGTCTACTCAAAATACAAAGGTTACTAAAAAAAAAAAAACGAAAACACCTGGTAGTTTTGTTTGGAAGTTTTTTTTTTTTTTTTTTTTTTTTATATGCGAATTGGTGTTCTTTTTATTAAGATTAAATATTATGGAATTTTACATTATATACAAGTAAAACATTTACTATCTATGAATTTAACAAGTTTAAGTACTTTCTTGCTTTTTTGTAATTTATCTAAAATTATTAGACTTCTTTTCATTCGATGTTCAACAATTTTTTCTATTGCCAGTTCTGAAATAGTATTGTTTCCCCATATAGATTGGGTATACCAACACCATATTCATAGATAATATTTATATGTAGCCATAATGCAGCCTCTCGCTTTTTAGAGAGTTGGATATTTAATGCTGTAAAAATCTCTTCGATAGTTGTAGGAAGAACCTTTTCTGCTGGAGATCTAAGTGCCTTATATCCTTTTTCCCAGATAGTTTTGCTAATGTTACATTTTAAAGCAAAGTGACCTAGTGTTTGTTTTTGATCTGGGCAGTTAGGACAGTTTCCGTTAATGTTTTTGTTTACATGCATAAGTCTATATCCCAAAGGAAGTGCATTGTTTTGTAACCTTCAAAAAATATCTTTATTCTTGTTTAGAATTCCTATTGTGTTAATCCAGGTGAAAGGATAACTAGTGTCGACTGGAGTTTGCACTGCTGTAGGTAAAATCGATTGAGTCCTTAAGAAATTAGTTGCATTCTTAACTGAAAAGTTTGGAAGTTTTTTGAAAGATATACTGTATTGAAATTATTAGATAATAAAGAAGTAGAAGTGGAAAAGGTTTCTTGTAAATTTGAAGATCGTGATACAAAATATGTATGGCTAGGATCAACCAGTAATTGTATAACCCATCTTCGTAATATACACCAAATTACCAAAGAATCACTTAAAAATACATTAGTAAAAGCAAAGCAACAAACGATTTACCAAGTAATTTCAAGACCTTATTCTTCTCATGTTCAAAAAAAGCTTACATATCAACTTGTGTGCTACATAATTGCATGTGCTCAGCCTATTTCTATTGTTGATGATGATGATTTTAGGCTTTGGACAAAAAATCTCGATCCCTAATTTAAAGTTCCATGTGTTAATACTATTAAAACCGTTATATTTACTTCTATGATTCTGCAATAAATCAAATTATAGATCTTATTTCAAAGACATCAGATACTGTTTCTTTAACCTTTGATCTTTGGTCATCATGAGCACATAATAGCTATCTTGGAATTACTTGCCACTGGCTTACAGATTCATTTGTTTTTGGAGAGTTGGATGAACATCATGCATCTGATATTGTTGAATCTGTTAATTCTGTTCTTAATAAATTTAAAATTAATTGTCAAAACGTTTTTCCTATTACTACTAATAATGGATCCAATGTCAGGTCCACAGTGCAACAAATGGGTATTTCTAATGTGAAATATGCTTCAATTGAGTGTCAATTGTGTCAATTTAGGTTTAAAGAAAGTTGATGAAATCATTTCAAAATGTAAAGCACTTATCTCAATTTTATCAAAAGAAAAAAAACATAGACAACTTTGTGAAGCTCAATTACAGATTACTCCAGAGCTTAAAGAGCCACTTGATGTTATTAAAGACATGAATACATGTTGGAATTTTACTCTTTATGCTATTGAACATCTTGTATATTTAAAACCTGCTATCATACAATTATACTCAACTCTTACTAACCTTACAATTAGGAAGGTCAGAAAAGGAGCAGAAACCATGGGCTCTTATATTCCCTCTTCAGAAGAATTTGAATTATTAGAAGAACTTATCGAAGTTCTTTCCCCTTTTGATGAAGCCACTCAATTTTTAAGCGGATCGAAGTATCCAATACTGGGTTTCATAATACCAATTTTGAAAGAACTTGCTCATCGGCTTAGATATTTTATTGGACAAAATAGTATGGCAATTCTTGTTAAAGATACAATTTTTAGAATGGTGGGGTGATCCAAATGAAATAGGCATGTGCTGCTCCTTCCTCAATCTACGTTTTAAAAAGCTAAATTTCTGCACATATGCATCAACAATTTAATGAGCTATGTCCAATACAAACCTCCAATGATAATCTAACATCAACTAATGATAATAATCCATCTTTAACATCTTCATATCAACATAAAAAAACCAAGATATCAGCATTTTTTATGCATTTGCATATGAAAACTTTAACATTGAGCCTGATGAATTTGACCGATATTGTGAACTTCCCTCAATTGCTCTTGATGAAGAATCTTGTCCTTTAGAATGGTGGTGTAAACACAATACCTCTTTTCTACTATGGCGATTTTAGCAAGAAGATATTTTGCAGTGCCGGCATCTTCCGTACCATCAGAGCGCCTATTTTCTAATGCCAGAAATCATGTAATGGATAAGCATAATAGACTTGATCCAGATTTTTTGAACAAATTGGTATTTCTTAAAAAAAATATGAAATCTATTAATATTTTTTCTTCACTCAATTAAATCATATTTTTTATTTACTGAACATTTTTTATAAAATATTAAATAAATCATATTTTTATCATTTACGAAATTCGAATTTTATATAGAGTTTCATATTTAAACTTAAACTTACTAGTAGCAATTTACAGGATTTAACTTTGTGAGTATTATATCCATATATTAGTACTCAAATTCAAGTTTAATGACTTAATATATATTAACTTTATTATTAGCATGATAAGCAATAGCTATATATTATTCTTTAAATAGCATAGTAAGTATAAATTTACAATTTAGCATTTACCTTTAGATGATATTTTTCAGATTACTTAAGAATTACTTGTTAAAATTCACAATTCAAGCTTGCAAGTATTTACCTTAAATAGTATTTTCAAGTTGTTTGATTATGCGATAGATTGTACATATAATACTCTTTTAATTTGCAATTTGAACTTATATGTACTTATCTAAAAGCAGTACTTTTTCAAACTTTTAATTCGCATTAATTTGGTCTGTATTGAATAATCTTTTATTGCATATCTAAATCTGTGATTTGACTTGTAAGTATTTCATTAAATGTGCTTTCTAATTTAATTTAAATGAATGCAAATATACAAATATTTACCTTTTTCTAGTCATTGATGTTATACTAATCTATAGGTATAAAGATTATTTGCTACTCTATTTAAAATTTATAATTCGAATATATATAACTATTTTATTAATATAGCATTTTTTAGTTATTTATTTCGCATAAATTTCGTAAGTATAAAAATAATCATCTATTAAGTTAAAATATGCGATTTAAATTTATAATCATTTATCTTAAATAGCAACTTTCAAATATTGAACTTAGCATTATTATGGTGTGTATTAAGTTTGGTAAATCTGTATTATTTTACTGACGATCACTTAATAGATATCACATTTCACTGACAATTACTCACCAACAAGTTCATTTTATATCAAAACTCATTTTACTAACTAGTTTTTTTTTTTATGATTTACACTAACTTAAACTTTAATTCTAACCTGACTATAATGTTATTGACCAGAATTACTTTTCTGTAAAATGAGCTTTGGTAAAATAAACTGTCAGTAAAATGAACTTATCAGTAACTAATTGTCAGTGAAATGTGATGTCTACGAATTGATTATCGATGAGTTGATCGGATCCCAAGTTGGGCCTATTATCTTATTTAAACTTTATAAATTAAGCTTACAAGTATTTTCTTTTGAAAGCATCTTTCTAGTCATCTGATTTTTGTTACTTTGGTAGGTATAATATTTATTTATTTATTATTTAATTAAAATATTCAAACTCAAGGTTTCAAGTCTTATCTTTAATAATACTTTCCAAGTTATTCAATCCGCATTAACTTAGTAAGTATAACTTTAATTGCCATGGTGCTGAAAATGGCTAACACTGAAAATTGGGATTTTTATTTGAGAATATAAACTCTACTCAAAATATTCTTATTAATATACTTCCAATTCCTGGGTCTGTATTGTTTCACCAACAATCACTTTATAGGCATTATATTTTACAAACAATTATTACTTGACAAGTTTATTTTACCAACAGTTTATTTCACTGAAGCTCATTTTACTAACAAGTTTTTTCTATAAATTACACTAACTTTAACTTTAATTCTAACCTAACTCTAATGATATTGACCAGATTACTTTGTCTGTAAAATAAGCTTTGGCAAAATAAACTGTCAGTGAAATGAACTTGTTGGTAAGTAATTGTCAGTAAAATATGATGTTTACGAAGTTATTGTTGGTGAGTTGATGAGATCACCAATTCCTGGCATTAGACATTTTTAGTATTAATTGTGTTATTAATTAATTATTTTTTTTTATCTTAACTTATAAGTTTACTTTAATAGTATATCTGAAATTCATTAATTTATCTTAATTTGGTAAGTATAAAGACAATTTTAACTATTTAACCTAAATAATAATTTAAGCTTGCTTGTTTATTATCTCTTATTAAATAGCTCTTTCAAAATTATTTATTTCACTTGAATTTTGTGGGTGTTTTTTTTTATTCTGTCTAAACAGTATTTATATGCTGTTAAAAGTTAGAATTGATTAAAAAGTATAAGAATAGTTGGATATTTGTTTAAATCTGTAGATTTAAGCTTATTTGAATATTTATTAATAAAAATTATTTGAATAGTGGCAAAAAAAAATCTGGAAAAGCAGCTATCAGCTCTAATAATTAATATTATAATAAATGAGATAAAAATATTTCAGAGTTTTTAAATTTTTTTTTAAATTTTATATTGTATTATTTAACCAATTTATTTAATAAAAAAGGTTATTCAAACTCGTATCTGAATTTATTTGATATTTGTAATTGGTATTATAGCTCATGCCTACTATTAGTAAGCTTTTAATTTAGAAGACCTGATATAAAAAAATTTTTAAATTATAGAATTATCAAACTCTGATTTGATATAGCAAAGTATATATTGTATTTTCTTATTATAAGCTAGAGTGTAGACTTTTTTTTAATAAGAATAAATTGTAGCTTTATATTATTACAAAATTATAAAACATATTAATATTTTTTATTTGTAACTAATTTTATTGTATCAACTATTCAACCAAACAACTAAACAACTAAACAACTAAACAACAAAACAACTAAACAACTAATTAGTTATGTGATGCTGATAATCGATTAGTTGCCAACTTTAGTTATCAACTAATTGATTAGCAAATTTTTACCAACTAGGAACACTAGTCTCAGATATAGCATCTAGTGGGTAACCTATGGGTGAAACCTTTAATTAGATAATGACTAAAGTTATATGTATGACTAGTTTTGATATACCCTGTATATAATATGTAATCTTATACTACTACTAATAAAAAAACACATAGGCAAGACTGCCCTTAAAATTAAAAAAAAAAATTTTAGATTTTTGATTTGACATTCAAAACATAGTATTAGTTAATAAGCATTTAGCAGATAAGTATTATAATGTTTAATTTTAGCCTGATTATTAATAATGCTTATTAATTTTCTAAATTGTTATGATTTTGTGATTATCTATTGTGAAGTAGTAGTATTAATTTTTATGAAGGTGTATGAGTTAGAATAGTTTAGTGTTGTAGATAGGTTTGTTGATGAGATTATATTGTTTGTAATTGCTTTAAACCACTTTAGTGTTTTTCTTTTTAGTATTTTTTGTATATTCTAATGAAATAATATCTAATTTAGAATTTTGTAGTTTGAGTAGTCAAGAAATTGTTCAATACAAATTATGTTGTAGTTATTTAATTTTTCTTTGATTAAATATAATTGTTTTATTGAATAAAGGATTTAGTTAATAAATATGTTTTTTGTTTGTTTAGAAATAGGCTATGAATTAACTGCATATTCTAGCTAGATATTTAATAAGTGAAGTGTAAGTATCATTTGAGCTATATTTGTTTTAACTTTATTTGTGATTAGTATAAGTTGTTTTAATAAGATTAATTTGTTTGAATTAGCTGTGTTTTGTTGTAATCAAATTTTTTTAAACTATAAGTATCAAAGTTAGATAAATTAATACTTTAATCTAATGTTCAAATTTGCTATTATTGTTAAATATTGTAAAATATATTTAGAGCATATATATTAGAATGATATAAAGTAGAGTTAGGAGTGGACTGAGCTAGTTGAGCTTTCTGTTTAATGATATTTGTATATAAATTTGTAATAAAGTTACAAGAGTATTTTGATAAATAAGTGCTTTGTATCTGATATGTTGCTATGTAAGAATCATGTTGTTAATAATATAAATAGTTTATTTGTTAATTATTTTAGCAAATTTGATTTTGTTTAAGTTAGAAGTAATGTTTTTGATAAGAAATTTTTTTGTAGATTAAAAAGATAGGTCTTGGGTAAGCCATGCACTTAGATGTCTAAATATTGCTTTTTGTTGAATATTTGATATATTTTTTTCTTAAAATATTATATTAGCATTAGGATCTGAATTATTAGTCACTAGTGTTGATTTGTAGAGGTTGACTTTGATGTTGGCATAAAAAAAAAAAGAGTTGATTGTTTTTAATATTTTTTGTAACTCTTGTTTGTCTTTGGCTATCCATATTGTATTATTTATATATATTACTATAAAGGTATGCATTAATATAGTAGAAAAATATGTATAGGTATTAAGTTAGTATTTTTGGTATATTGTACCAAATATGGTTAATAAGTAGATTATAGTAGATCTTTAATAGAATTGAAGAAAAAGTTTTTCTCTAATCAATTCTGTCTTGTATAGTATAAGGTTGTATTAGTTCAATGCTTGTAATAACAAAATTTTGTTTGTTGTTAAGAAGATGGTTTAATAAGTTTATAATTAAGTAAGAAATATGAATTTGTTAAAATGTTTTGATTAGTAGAAAGATGTATACTATGTTATAGACTTTGTATATATCTTGTACTAAGATCTAGTATTTGTTTTTTGTTATATTAGCATGCTCTATTATATGAAAAATATTTTGAATAAGTTGAAGAATAGATGTGAATAGAAGTACAACATTGTTATTTAGATTTAAGATTGGATGTTAAGTAAGAATCTTATTTAATTGATAAGTAATTATTTTAGTAAAAATTTTTTTAGTATATTCAATTAATATGATCAGTTAAGTGTATAAGAGGTTTTGTTGTAATGTTGTTTTTTTAAGATAGCCTATATGTTTGCATGTTCTTAGCTACTTAGTGTTTTTTCAATTATCAAATATGCATTTGTAAAGGTTTTGTTATTCGAAGAACTTTGTATATAATTTTGCCAATAAAAATACTTAAAATTTTATTAAAGAAATCTTGCTAGGTTTAAATAATTGTTAAAAGTATATAAATTTAAGAATAAAAGTATATTAAAAATAGAAGCTTAGTTTACTCATAAGGCTTACTAATTTATTTGAAAGATTCTGGTATATAATTATTAATAAATAAAGATAAAAATAGAAAATAAATATAAATCATTACAAATCAAAGTTGATCATTAATACAC